AATGTATTAGAACTTTGATTTTCCATCTCATTATCAAAAAAAAAACATCTACCCTCCGTGAGTTTTCCCAAAAAAATATGCAGGTTTACCTCGTATTTGGATATTGAATTAAATAGAATAACTATCAAAAACTTTCATAACACTAATCTACCATCATTGAACTAGTGAAATATGTATATATTTTCATAATTAGTTTATTAATAATTATTATTTTATAAGACTCGAAACATCACCCGTAAAATGCAATATACACTAGTGCAAATCTACCTACGCGCCGATCAGTACGGCAGCGGCGCAATTTTGTAAAAGGGCTCTTAAGTATTTACCAGAGAAATAATAAATGTTCACCTACGTTTTGATTGCTGCGTCATACAGTATAAATACAAATTGTGCAATCTAAATTAAAAAAATAATTATCATTACAATAATAAAGTAGTATAGAGCAGACTCATCTCCGCTGGTAGCACCCGTTCACGAGCATGATGCATGAACCCGCCATCGCTTCGCTCAACCTTATTTTAGGGAACGCAACGACCCGCCTCACACGACACTCCTATGAAACTTCTGTTTTTCTTTAACTTCAAGTTAATTACAACACAACGTAATCTAATCTCTTATCTATTAGACAAGTCCGTCCGTCCGTGGTGCTGTTTCAGCGGCCAAACCGTAAGAGATAGATAAAGAGAATATTTAAGTTATAAGTTAAGAATAGTCTGATAAGACTACAAACCGGATTTGAGTACCGTAGCACTTCCTGTTTTCGAGAAATCACGAATTTAAATTTAATTTAATAAATTTAATGAACGAAACGAAACCACACAAAATCTCCGAAGTTCTCAATTAATTAAATACATTTTTTTTTATATCAGGTTTTGGTGAACATTTGGTTCACTGGTTTGCTAGTATTTTTTTGTTGTCCAAGTCCCTCGTCTGCGCACACAGGTCATTAAAGCGCTAATAACTGCGCCATCGATCTCCTCATACCATTTTTTAATCCTCATCATCATCAGCCTATTAATGGCCCACTGTTGGGGCACAGGCCTTCCCAATGGATGGATTAGGGAGATCGGGCCATGACCCACCACGCGGGCCTAGTGCGTATTGGCGGGTGCTAATGACTGCAGATGCAGCCGGGACCAACGACTTAACGTGCCGTCCGAAGCACGAAGGAGCTCGAGATAGTAATTTTTGATCACCCATCCAATGACTGACCACTGCGAAAGTTGCTTAACGTCAACGATCGCAGCCGAACGCGCTAACCACTTACGCCATCGAGCTCCTCGCTATATTTCAATACATCATCATCATCAGCCTATTAATGTCCCCACTGCTGGGGCACAGGCCTTCCCTATGAATGGAATAGGGAGATGAGCCATGACCCACCACGCGGGCCCAGTGCGTATGAGCGGGTGCTAACGACTGCAGATGCAGCCGGGACCAACGGCTTAACGTGCCTTCCGAAGCACAGAGGAGTTCGAGATAGTAATTTTTGGTCACCCATCCAATAACCGACCACTGCGAAAGTTGCTTAACTTCAACGATCGCAGCCGAACGCGCTAACCACTTGCGCCATCGAGCTCCTCGCTATATTTCAATACAATAAGTAAATACTCGATTTTGAAGCATCTTTGTTAGACGAGGCATTGACATCAGAAGTGGTTACCGATGAGATTTGTCATGACTTAACGACTGCGCCTGGCGGAATCCCTTTAAACCTGAACTTTGTACGGGCGGGACGGCTCAGGCGGCTTACGACGCGCCGTGCGTTCCTCCCAACCCGCGGATTATAGCCTCGATCTATTATGGAGCAAACGCTTAACGGAAGAGATTTAAAAAAATTTAATCATTATTAGTTGTAGTATATTTATTTTTAAGCATTTAACTGCTAGATGTTTAAATCTAAAGAAAAGTTTTTCTAGAAAAAAATAATAAGTATAATTGCTATTTCTTCTTTCAAATGTTTAATTCAAAAAGTATTCATTTGACATTGTGGGTTGCCTACAATGCGAAGAGATGGCGCTGCCTTGCAGCTTAAGGATAGGAAAATTTCGACGCGGCCATCAGGGCCGTGGTAGCATTCGCCCGGATTGCGAAGGATGCGGGTTCGTGTCCCGTCCGCTGCCTAGTCCGCGTGGATTGTTTTGTAGTAGACTTATTCGAGTTAATAATTTTACCCTTAACTACAGACAATGTTCGAAGGGTTAATTATATTGTTTTCGAATATTTTGTTGAAGGTGAGAACAATACTACAATGTGGTACTCATACATGTTATGACTTTTAAAGACCTACGGTACGGATGCAGGAGTAGCCTCTGTTTAAAATTATATCTTACATCGAGAGATTTTTTCCGACAACGTTTAAAAAAGTCCAAGGGTCTTAGATTTTCTTGTTTATAAACCTTCGTGTCTAAACCCAATAGGGATGATGACAATTTTTTTTTCTTCGTTTATCGGGTAGATTATCAAAAAGTATTGGACACGTATTTTTTCTTTTTTCACATAATATAAGCATTGCAGAGATATATTGATTTGAAAACTCGCATGACGTCACGTTTGAGTATACTTATAAGTGAAAATTCACTCAAAAGTGACGTCGCGAGCCCCTACTCCCAAACTTTGACGCGCTATTACTTTGTCATTTTTTGGTTGATTGCCGAAAGAAAAAATACGTGTCCATTATTTTTTGGTCGTCTAACTGACCGACTAAATCGAATTTCGTTTACTGTACCCCGTCATCACCCCTGTTTAGGAGCACATCACCATAAGCCGCAGTCGCACTACCAATATTACAGGAACTTAGCACAGTAAGACGTAAGACGAGTTTCCTAGGCGGGCGTTCAGACCCCAAAACCTAAGACATTTTGTAGGAGCTCAAAACATTTGATTTTAAAAGCGGTAGGGCATAGTATAGGGCTGATAAATGGTATACGTAATAACTAAATTACAATTTGTGAATGCGTCCTCTTCTCTATTCTCTATTTGCTGTGCCCTTTTCAGGGTCTGCAATGATCAAGGCAATGTGCCTACTAATATCTAAGAAAATATTGTAGAACGCAGTAAAGTATTGATTGATTGATTGATAGCGGATTTTCAGCTCGAGTGCCCGTCTGGAGAATTAGCCTTCACCTTTCAGAAGAATCGCACAGTAAAATAACACTACCAATAAATCTTGGTAGTGTTGTGTTTCTGTCGGTGTTCCAGAGCTTCATCGTCATCATCATCATCAACAGCCTATCTTAGTTCACTGTTGGCGATAGGCCTCTCTAAATGCCACTCAGATCGATCTTGGACTACTCGCATCCAGCTCCTGCCAGCCACCAGCAAATCGTCACTCCATCGCGCCTGGGGACGTCCTACACTACGTTTGCCTAGACGCGGTCTCCATTCCAGAACTCGTCTACCCCAACGGTTATCGGTTCTTCGACAAATATGACCAGCCCACTGCCACTTCAACTTGCTAATCCGGTGGGCTATGTCGATAACTCTGGTTCTCTATCGGATTACCTCATTTCTAATGCGATCGTTCAGAGAAACGCCGAGCATAGCCCTCTCCATAGCGCGCTGAGCGACTTTGAACCTGTGGACCAGCCGTACCGTCAGTGTCCACGTCTCGGCTCCGTATGTCCTCTTCTCTATTTTCTATTTGATGTGCCCTGTTCAGGGTCTACAATGATCAATGCAATGTTCCTACTAAGATCTAAGAAAACATTGTAGAACGCAATAAAGTATTGATTGATTGATTGATAGCGGATTTTCAGCTCGAATTGGAGTGCCCGTCTGGAGAATTAACTTTAACCTTACAGAAGAATCGCACAGTGAAATAACACTACCAATAAATCTTGGTTTGGTTTATGGTGGTTTAATCGCCACTTCTAAATTTAAAAGTAGTACCTAGCTATACTTAACTTTTGTTCATTAATAATATTAATGTGATGGAAGTTGACATCAACACATGTTTTCAATTTTTGATGTCATCTTTCAATTGACGACACTGTTTGAAACAAAACAGGGAGAAAAAAATAGGTCTTGCTGTGTTTCTTGCCGGTTCTTCTCAGTACAAGGTCTCCCGCCGTAGATTTACGATTCGATGGCGTAGCGTTTGACTTTCACAAGAGCTTGTAACAGCCTAAACTGAATAAATGAGTTTGGTAGTGTTGTGTTTCTGTCGGTTCAGTGCTCCAGGGTTTCACGTGGTAGCCACCCTTTTAACATTAAAAAAAAGTTATTTGGTAGGAGTTCTCCAGCGCGAGTTCTGTTCTTCGTCGCTGCAGCTCGTCAGTTGTGGTCGTTAGCGCCACAAAGGGGCGATTAAACACTCGAACGTCACCGCTGCGATCCGCGGGCTTAGCGCCTCGAGTGCCGCAATCCGCGCCGTTTGTCCGCACGCCCCGCTCTTAGGTGCGTGAGCGTACATACTTACTGGAATCTTTTCATATTTTACCCGCCGATTTAGCCGATTAGATTGTTATGAAGTGTTCAGTACCCCTAGCACGAACCAATATCGAATTTGTATCGTTTGCGAGTCCGAAATGTCACTGTCAAATATGTACTGATTTTTAGTTCTCGTTACGTACTGTGTGTCAGTACTGCTGTTCAAGTTTCCATACAAAATTTGACATTGATATTTCGGTTTGCAAACTATTCGAATTCGATAATGGTTCGTGCTAGGGGTACAGCATTGCCACGGGAATGCACCGTCTTTGATAAAACTATGTCATTTGCTAAAATCGCAGACCAAACTGGTACATCATTCAATTGCTTTTTAATCTTGTTAAAATAGGCCCGCCGTTGATGGAAAACGATGTCGTGAAGTAAGATGGAGCATTCTTGCCTATGAGAAATCTAAAAAACGAGAGGGAGGATTTTCCTCTCTGGCTTATAGGCTAGATGTTAGCCCAAAGACAAGAATAAAATGGATGTTATAAGAAAGCACCTTAATTGTAAAGTATCTGGTTAGTAATCTTATAAGAAAAGTTTCTCAGCAAACAATTTTTTTCCAGATCGGTCACATTCCCACGGACCACATCGTAGCGGCTACGTACCGTACCAGAACCAAGGCTACAACAACCAGAGTCGAGGCTACGATCAGAGCCAAGGCTACAACCAGACGCAAAGCTACAACCGCTCCGGTTACGGCAACCAAGACGGCTACAGTGGCGGCAACCAAGGCTACGGCCAAGGGCGGTACAACAGCAGCCAGGGACAAGGTTACGGTGGTTATCAACAGAACAGGCACAACCAGTCGGGTTCTGGTTACGGTTCCAACCAACAAGGCAGGTATAACAGCAACCGAGGGGGCTCGCAATCCGGATCACACTCGTCTCCAAACAGGAGGTATCAAAGTAGTCAGGGCGGGACCTGGCGCTGATTATAGTTTTAAATATCAAGTAAAACTAGACAGGTAACTAGAAAAGAGAGAAAATATAATTATAGAGAAAAAAAAACGATGAATCGATAGAACACAGTTAATGTAAAGAAAATATAGCTAGAAAAAATTCCACGCGGACCAGGCAGCAGACGGGACTTGAACCCGCACCCTTCGACGCGGTCCGTGAGGGCCGCGGTAGCATAATTGGTCAGTGCATTCGCCCGGATTGCGAAGGGTGCGGGTTCAAGTCCCGTCTGCTGCCTGGTCCGCGTGGATTTTTTTCTAGCTATATTTTCTTAAGATTTAAACATCAAGCAGTTACATGCTTTAAAATAATAAAAATAATTACAGTTAATGTAGATTGAATATTTTATATATAAATGCCAGAAGTTTCGTTCGCCAGATTGCAATTTGATAAATTTTATTATTTTATATGAAGATTTGACGTCAATTGTAATTAATGGAGATAGGATAATTCTATCATCACTGTTTAATAAGTGCTTTTAGCAACCATAGGAATGAGTTTTCTCCTGAAGGTTATTTACGATTATAAATTAATTTCACAACTCAATTTTACTATTTTAAATATACCAATTATACATTAATTCAATTCAAAACGATTAGTCTTAAAAGTCTTTTTTAGTTCTGTTTTTTTTTGTAATTTTACGATTGCTTTATAAAAATCAATATCTTGCTGTAAGTACAAAGTGAGGAGCTGGCGAACAAAACGGTATAATTACGCATCTGGTCAAACTAAATCTTTTTTACAGTCCGGAGGTTTCGGGCCCGTTGAATTTGAATTTCAAATATTTTTCAATCAAAAACTGCCAAAACAGTGATAAAATTACTAAATTTATAAATTAAAAACCCATGCCAAAAGCTCACTGTAGGTATGTGTCATTCAGTTTTATAGAAGCTCATGTAAAATTTAATTTTATGTAATTATATCGTTTTTTCGCCAGCTCTTTTCGGGTTGTTTTGGTGCCCATGATATCGCGCTACGATTAATCTTTTCTCAAATTAATTTCAAACCGTCGCGTCGGTTATGCTGGTTTTAACATTTTAAGGTAGTGGCTCCAAGAAGTAGGTGGCCGATCGCTAAATATGGTAACACCGAGCGGCATTGGTGCCACCACAGAACACAGAAAGAGATTAGGAGAGCCTTGTAGGTGGGGCAGGCGCGCAATAATTATGTGTGAACAAATGCTCAAAACTTGGTTCCGATTGCGTTGTTGCTCTAGGGTGTGAGCGTTGAATGGTTCGATTGTTTGATGTAGCGTCGTTTGATTGGCTATTATCTAGTCTTACTCTTAAGCCAGAAACATATTAACGTGTCGTTGTGCGCCAGAAGCACATTGGTTTCATACATTTACTATGGTTAGAGGCATATTTACGTATCGTGTCGTGTCGACGCTTTAACCTCTCTATCTCTCTCTAACCCATAATAAATGTATGAAACCGATGCGCCACGTCACGCCACGACACGTTAATATGTTTCTGGCTCTAGTACGGCGGGCTGTTTCCGCAACTCGACACCCAGTGCCTATTTTGCGTGGGGATTGGCATCAGTCCTGCCATCCCAGCTCCTCCAGAAAGCTTAGCAGTCCCCGGATGTTGCTGCCGACTTATACTAGTGTCCGCGGGCTTCCCATTAGAGAAGTCCTTTGTCTTGCAACGACTCTGCACTCCAGCAGAACATGGGCGCTCGTCTCTTCCTCCAAGCAGGCTCTGCACAGAGGGCTGGCTATTTATCTATTAGGTCGACTTGTAGTGGGGGCGAGCCGGCGACATTCGGCGAGCAGGTCCGTACAAACGGTATTATAAACACCCTTGTTTGGTTTGGTTGACGTTGACCCTCGGTTGACGACCTCCGTGGCCGAGTGGTTTATACGCCGGGTTTCATGGCGTCGCCGACTCGAGAGGTCCCGGGTTCGAATCCCGGTGGGGACAGATGTTTGTGTGATGAATACGAGCATTTGTACTCCAGTCATGGATGTTTTAATATGTATTTCATATAAATATACTTATACATGTACAATATATGTATTTTATCCATTACCCTAGTATCCCATAACACAAGCCTTTACAGTGCTTACTTTGGGGCTAGACTAATTGGTGTGAGTGTTGGAATTATTTATTTATTATTATTATACCCTTCTAAGCTCTTTCTGTATTCTGTGGGTGCCATTACCGTACTCTTTTTGTTTGATTGACATATTTATAAGAATTAACGCTCAATTCAGACTGTTACATTATCACATTGCATATACATACTCAGTACATACTTGGAGCCACGTATGAATTCCTTAAAAAAATATTATACGCAATGTGACTCATGATGACTCATGACAGTCAATGACCAGAATCATGGTCATACACGTAATGTCAGTGACTTAATCATTTTTAATAATCATTGATTGACATGTGTTAATGATCACCAAAAAATATTTAAAAAGATTATAGTTTATTTGATTTGCAGACACTGGATGCGCTTACGCATATACAATTTGCCACAATATTATTAATTTCTTTCTACATTGTGATACACAAAAGAGACATTTTTCTTTTAAAACAAATGCACTTTGTTAATTTGACTTAAACACAACGAATTAGAAAAATATATGGAATATGAACTGCGCTAAAAAGTGGTTCCACGCAAACTGCGATCAAGTGGGCGGGGCGAAAAACGATCAAACAGTATCTTATCCAATGAATGGATAGGCAAATTCATTTTCAGATATTTTGATTTGTCAAAATATGTTGTTTTGTCTGTGTGCGTGTCAATTAAATTCAAAAATCATTTATTCAGTTTAGGCTTTCACAAGCACACGTGAAAGTCGAAAACTACGCCATCGGTTCGCAAAACTACGGCGGGAGACCTTGTACTGAGAAGAACCGGCAAGAAATTCAGCAAGGGCTGCTTTTTCTCCCTGTTTTATTTCATACAGTGTCGTCAAATTGATAGCTGACATCAAACTTGCAAACATGTGTTGTCCCGTTTTTGAGGTTAGTTGTAGCAGTTTGGGAGCATGTTTTAGCGGCGTTTGTTAGAGAGTAATGCTTTCATATCATTTCTAATTCGTTGCTTATACATACATATATTAGAGGGCACACTTTGTACGACCACGACACTAATAAGATCAGTACCCTTAGTATGAGTTTGAGCTCACGAAAACTATCATAGTTTTAATTATGTTTCTATGTCCATTTTGGTGAAAAGTAACCAAATATACTTAAAATTTAAGAAGACGCAAATGATTTAATGGTAGAATTTAAACACTGTTTATTTGTATTGAAACGAAAACAGTAGAATCAGTACCCTTAGTACGAGTGCGAGCTCACGAAAACTATCATAGTGTTCGTAATTGTTTAACTCGTACTAAGGGTGCAGGGGGCCATTCGTCTAATGGAAATGCTTTGGAAAACGCTAACGCTTTCGATTTTATTTTGTTATTTCTGACCGCCGAAGGTTTTCAAGTAACTCACGCCCATTTTGTTTTAATATTGTTATTACCAATGCAAAAGAAAAAAGAGTGTGAGGCATTTGAAAACCTCAGGCGGCTAGAAATAACAAAATGAAATCGTAAGCGTTAGCGTTTTCCAAAGCATTTCCGTTAAGCGAATGGCCCCCAGGTCCCCGCAAACTTCTTAAGCAAAACCACAGACAAACAATCTTGCGCAGTAGACGTTTCTCTATGTAAAATTGCTAGCAGGCTTCTTTGTCTACGGTCGTGACTCGAGAAGTTTACCGGGATGTAAACTTACGTTTTCATGTCCACTTTTAAGAAAATTTCCACCTAATTTCAGATGATAAAGATTTGTAATTTGCCAATTGGACCGCCCTTCAGTCCCCGTAGCATGAGCACCACAATTAACATTATATCACGTCTTTTATCGCGTTTAACTGTCAAACTCTCAATTGAAATTTGACAATAGGGATGATGACTAATTTTTTTTTCTTCGTTTATCAGGTAGGTTATCAAAAAGTATTGGACACGTATTTTTTCTTTTTTCACGTAATATATACATTGCGGAGATATCTTGATTTGAAAAGTCGCATGAGGTCACGTTTGAGTACAATTTTAAGTGAACATTCACTAAAAAGTGACGTCACGAGCCCCTACTCCCAAACTCTGACGCGCTATAACTTTGTCATTTTTTGGTTGATTGCCCAAAGAAAAAATACGTGTCCATTATTTTTTGATCATCTAACTGACGGACTAAATAGAATTTCGTTTACTCTACCCCGTCATCACCCCTATTGAGCGCGATTAAAACGAGCTATATACCATATCGCGGTACTCATACTAGGGGGGCAGGACCGCCAAAAATTCTGTTGCCTGCAGATTTTTTTGCGGACAACTAAGACGCCTTACTCACGTGATCGGCGCGTGATTCTTTTGTTTTCGTTTCTATAACGAATGTATACATTTTTTTGTATCTTAGGTTTTCACGCACATCACCCATTAAATAAAACTAGTTTTAACGGATTAATCCACGAAACTTTATTTATTTATTGACGTTTCGCCGGTTCTTCTCAGAAAGGTCTCCCAATTTTGGAACCGGTGGTAGTTTACGGTAGTTAGGGTCAAATAAATAAACTCAAAATTACTAAAAAGAATTTTAAATAAAGTACTTTATTAACTGAAGTAAGTAATAAATTCATACATAGACAGTAAAACTTTAAAAACCTAACAATGAAATAACCGGACGCTCAATAAAAGTCTTTCGAAGGTAGCTCGACAAAATTAAATAGAAAATCATTCTGACGAAGCAGGCTTTGTATTTTGTTTTTTCTGAAGGCTGCGAAACGTCAATAAATAAATAAAGTTTCGTGCATTAACTCGTTAAAACTAGTTTTATTGAATGTACACATTGCATGTAATTAAATGAGAGCGTTCTCACCGAGTCGTTTTGGGTACAGATGCTTTCCGATCGAGACGTGGTTCTCTGTAAAGAATATGTGCAGATTCAAACGAATACGAAAGGACGTGTAAGGAAAGGGACTTAATTTGATAAAAATGTATTGCCGAGAAATCTGTGAATGAAATTGAATATTTGATGATCTGAATTCATCAGTGAGAATAGCATTATATAGAGGAGCTGGCGAACAAAGCGGTATAATTACATAAGTAGTACA